CGTGCTGAAAAGGATGTTTTCGTTATTGCTGAGCAGTGCTTACATACTGTCAAGGCCTTTCCTGCTTCTCACCCCAACCCACCAGCAAGTAGGCAGGGGGTGCACAAGAAGTTGTGCGGGGACACAGCCGGGACAGCTGACCCCAACTGACCAAAGGGATATTCTATACCATATGACATCATGCTCAGTATATAAAGCTGGGGGAAGGAGGAAGGGGTGGGACATCTGGAGTGATGATGTTTGTCTTCCCAAGTAAGAACTATATGCGATGGAGCCCTGCTTTCCTGGAGATGGCTGAACACCTACCTGCCGATGGGAAGCAGTGAATGAATTTCTTATTTTGCTTTGCTTGCATGCACAGCTTCTGCTTTACCTATTAAACCGTCTTTATCTCAACCCACGAGTTTTCTCACTTTCAGCTTTCTAATTCTCTTCCCGTTCCTGCTTGGGGGAAGTGAGTAAGTGGCTGCTTGATGTTTAGTCGCCAGCCTGCACCTGCTGATGCAAGGTCTGAAGTTATTTGGATTTGATGTGATCAGCAGCCTCTTTTTGCAAATTGACTTTTTTTTGTAATATCTGTGGCTGGAAAGCTAGTTGTCTTCAATGTAATTCCTAAAGGACTTCTCACTAGATAAGAAATCATATTAAAGTGTAAGGCCACCCCTCCACTCTTCTACAACTAACATTGTCTTATCTATTGGGCGCTTGCATAGGAAGGGTTTTAGTGATTTTAGTTCTAATTATTTACAGCTCTTATTAATCAAGAAACAGTGAACACACAGCAACTTTAATTGCACTTCTTGTAATATTCTCTATTCATCCTCAAAAGATTTTAAACAAAGCTCATTTACTTAAATAATTTTATTGAAATGCTTTAGAAATAAGTACTAAGCCTGGTTCCCAAACTAAAAGAAAGAAAGAAAAAAAAAAGATAAAATGCAATGTGAAATGTGAAAGAGGATTTGCAAAATTTTGGCCTCATGAAAAGCACTACAACTTTCTCAGTTTCAAAGACAGATACCTTTTTCTTTTTCCAAAATACTTATATCTAAAATCACATTAAAAGATCTTGTGTCCTCTGATGCATACATATAATTTCAATTAATGCTAATTGGGAACTATGTACATGTAGCAAAAGAAAAGAACTCTAAGACTGTATACCATGAGGTATGTAGGTAGCTATGAAGTTTGGCATTTTGATTTATTGTTCCAGAAAATAAAATTAAATAATGATCTCTGGATTTCCCTGAAATACAATGAAAAATCAGAACCACTGTGAATTTTTATTGTTAGTTTTGACTGACAGCAATTGATTGCTCAGGAAAACAACTTAATAAACAAAGCCATTCCCATTCCACGAAAAAGCAGGAACTATATAAAAGTGCATTTGGATTCATAAAAGCATGACTCAAGCACTAAAATAAGCCTAACTACAGATTAAATACTTCCAATAAAACCATTATTAAATTCTAATCAGGGTCACAGAAGACCCACCAAATTTCTAAAACATAATACTTTAAAGAAGAACAAAATGACCTAGTTGAAAATTAAACAAAAAGCAGGCCCACCAATTTTAGTTCTGTGAGGATTAGCTAAATTTTTTTTCTTGGAGTCTTTCTTCTCTATGAATCTTCTTTCTATCCATAGGTAAAACACCATAAATAACTCATCTTCTGCCTCTACGCTGCTGAAGTGCTACGCTATTATGGATTAATTCTGTTTTGCTTGCATGATTGTATTATTGTCATTTACTATTATATCTTTTTCTTTTCTTTTACAAAACTAAGGGACAGTTTTTCAGTTTATATAAACTGGCATAATTATGTCAGTTTTTTAAATTAATCTATACTGATATTAGCTCTTCTTACCAACAATATTTCTCAACAATTTCATGCTCTCTCTTTCTTTCTCTAATCTAATGTCTCCCCTCATCTTGCTTTCTGATCAGGAAATGAAAGGGATGTTACATAAATCCTTCTGGAAATCTGTCATTCACCTTTGAAAAACTATTCTTTTCCGTACGTCGCTGAATTTCCTTTTATTGTGACTACGTAAAATAGAAGTGCTACAGTAAAGAGCAGAATCAATGAATGGGGAAGAAGGCCTTTCTTACTGCAGGGTCCAAAATCCTTTCTTTTTTTCTGTCCTCAATGAAGACAAACTTGAAAGAAGACAGAGTGGATTCTTGCAAAGCAGCTACCAACAACTTGCAAAAAAATAAGAGAGGAGGTGTTTGTTACCTGGTATGACCTGAACCCACATTGCTACTATTCAGAGGAATATCTTTATCACATAGGTATACAGAGAATTTCCGCAAAGGAGAAAAACTTCTAAGCTGTCTTCTGTAATTCCATTACATAAACTTTTTAAAAAAACATGTTTGAACAAGAACCAAGAACCATGTACCCACTTAAGTATCATGGCCAATTGACTACATCCTACATACAGCCAAGTCCAGTTCTATCCTCTAAATGAACACATTAAACTTAGATCTCTGGCCTCACAACAGTGGTGTATTCTTTATACTTCTGGTCTTAGTGCTCTACTACTTTCCAGAAAAATGTTTAAATATAAGGTGAACTTGAATAATTGACCATTTGTCCTGGTAATTAAAATGCTGACACAAATCCTGCTACAGCTGCTCAGCTAGTCTTCTTAAGCAGAACAGCCTTAAAAGTAGATATCGAGGATCCCCACTACGACTACTCACACATGCAAATTTCTGCAAGAAAGCGAAAGAATTGAGGCATCTTATAGTATAGCTGAATGTTACATCTGCAAAGCATTTTATTCAGAAAGTCTATGAATCTAGCCCCCTTTTTATTTGTTTTTATTAAAAAATACCTGACGTTCTAACATAGCATTTCATGTTGAATGTTTTTCCCAGACATGAAACATTTTATGCTTGCTTTAGTACGACAACCCCTAAACAAAAGCACACTTTCATTCCAAATTTTAGTCTGGCTTCTGAATCAATGGTATTTTTTTTTTCCGATGGTGCTTCCAACAGTAGGTGACCGAATGATCACAGGCATCAGAATACATAATCAAACACTAGCAATATCTGCATCTTGTTACACAGAAAAGTGTTTCCTTCTCATCTTCTTTCTTGATCTAAAAAGGTGACTGCTCAATATAAAACAGTCAATTCTTGCTGTGGAGCTTTCCTCAGTTTCTGTATTCAGAGACACGCTCAGATGTACTATATTCCTGGTAGCCCTGCAGAGACCATGTATCCACATACGAAATAAAATTACTCTTTCCTGGCAGACCTTCCACAGAACAGTTAACTAAGCTCTGAATGCTCAGTGTTGCTACCTTGACCTGTACTGAGTTGCACTTCTGAAAAACCCTGGCATTGAAATACTGGAACCACTGAAGTCAACAGGTGCTTTAACAGAGCACAGTTGTGGGACTGGCAATTAGGAGACAAACAAAAGCATAAATCCAGGAAACCTTGCATGCTGCCAAAAACTTTTGACTTCTTAATCAAACACATTTCTTTCAGGACTCACAGGGATAATAGAACTGATACAGTAAAAGACAAAAATTGAACTTCATAATGTTCATTGTACAGCAACTCCTTCGAATAAATTAATACTTCTTTACAGTTCATATGAAATTATGCTATCACTGCAGCTTAAGAGGAAAGGCTTGAGGAGAAAAACAGGATGACCAATTGGGGAGGAGGGGTCCTCAGACTTAAAAAAGGAGAGCTTTGTCAAAATAGTAGATACTAAGAAAAATTCATGCAGAAGTAATAGCCACATTCTCATTCTGCATCACCATTAGAATTGTAATATTTAAAAAACCAACAGCATACTTAAATATGAATGCTTGAAAAACTGGAAACTAAATGAAAACATAAGACTATCTTGTGAATTATATCTACTTTAAAATATTTGTTATGAGCTGAAAAACCGGTCTTTTGAAAATCTGTACATATTTAGATTTTACATACTTCAATCTCAGTCCTAAATAGAGTTCATTAAAGATCATCCATGTATTTATTTAATTATGTGTACTTCTTAAAAAGATGAATAACACTATTAACATTTTTAGACATTAATATCGGAAGGCATGTGATACAAAACTGAATTCCACTTTCAAGAAAATTCTTGAATGCACTTTGTTAGAAAATAGAGCACATTCACATTACAAAATTAAAGCGGATTTACTTTGAGACCTTCATCAAAGCATTCAGACTGTTAACTCATAATCACATTATTTTTTAAAATACTAGAATATTCTTAGCAATAACTAGTTCCAAATAAAAGCAATATTATGCAAGCACATGTGATAAATTTACTATATTCTACAGTATTTAAATTTTTTGAGAGGTAATAATACACCCACTCATGTTTGAATTAAATATGATTATATGATATGATCCACGGTGTTTATAACACCAAGCCTTGTATTTTAGACCCAAGCTGCCCATAAAACATATAGAGTTGATATATTGCAGAATTTGCCATTGACCTCCTTAGGTTATTCTGCTCACACCAACAGTGATTTACCAAGATAACTGTAGTGTTTTCTTGTAGCTCTGGGATTATAATGTTTTTTTTGGAATTACAGCAATAAGTTGAAGGAAAAGAATTTGCACGAAAGGAAAAAAAAACAAGTAATAAACATATACATGTATAAATAGGGAAAAAATGTATTATCTGTTCTGGTTTTATCTATTCCAAGCACTGAAAATAACTCTTACTTTTTTTGCCACCTAAGTTTCAGAATTAAGCTGAAATAAGTTGAAAAAAAATCCCATAGCATAATTAAACCGCACATTTTTAAAATGTTGTTCTTAATAGCCATGTTGATTTGTTATATGATGTTAACTTGTGAAAGCTGGTTTTCAGCAATATCAAACATCACTTAATTTAAAATTTCAGTTTAATAAATATCACTTATATCACGTACATACCAAGTAGATTTTGATAGTGAGGGGAAGTTGCATGCTTATTTTTCAGAAAGTTTCAAACAGCAAGCAGTCTTACTTTTGTATTCCAGGTGAAAACCCGCTGCTGCCACACTAATGTCAGAGTGAAAATGCAGGTAAAGTTGATTGGAGGTGCTATTCAACAATGCTGGCACAGTTGTACCTGGAAAAGTAAAGTTATGCAATGAACTGCAACATGCTGATATACGAGTTTTATATTGAAAAGACAAAACCAAGACTGAATCACACAGGCTCGTTTTGTTCTTATTACAAGCATGGAAATCTCAAACATTCTATGTTCTGCCTTATTTTCTTCTAAAGCTGCAAGAAAATTTTGATTACAATTGATACTAAGAGGCTACATAAGTACAATCAAACAAGATCCCATCATGTTCAGATGAAACTTTATTGACTTGGATAGAAAAAAAAAGAGTAAACAAAAAAAAATCACACACGAATTTGATTATGAGATCAAGCTCAATTGCCATTTGACTATTTTCCCCATATGTATAAAAAATCTGCAGTACAGAACAGTCCAGACTTTTTCTGTGTGTCCACTCCACACCTTCTTCCCATAAAAACATTTCAACCATTTATGCAAGTTCTGAGGGTATAACAGGCAATGAATATGTAGGTTTAATACATTAAAAAAAGACATATTAGCTTTATGTAATTCAAATAAGTGTAATAACATTACTTGCCACTAACTTCAGTGTGCACAACATAACAAGCTTATCACTAAACGTGGACACATTCTTTGCCACTAGTCTTGCTAAGTCTGACACAACATTTTCTTTGTTACCATGACTACTATGTAACTTACGTTCTAGAGTCTAAAGCTGGAACAGCTACTGAGGCTAAAAATTACATAATTTTCTATGATTACCCTCAAAGACAGTATCAAGTAGCTAATGAACTTCAGCAGTGATTACATAAGAAACATTTTCATTTCCTGTGGGGCATCTGCTGTTTCTATAGTAACTGCGAGCAGCCTAGGCATGAGCTTGAAATTCGGGCTTAAAGAGAAATGTTGGAAAGAATTATCTTTATGAGTCTAAAGTCTCAACCAGCAAATTGTAAATACTTCTAAATCTAAAACTGTATTAAGCAAAATTTTGATATAAATAGTGAGGAGCTAAAACATGACAAGTTGGTCTTTAGGGAAGGTTTTACTGTCTGACATGGAAGCTCCAAATATAGAAATTCACAGACAGTACTGAGCATTCTCATCACACAACACTTACTATGGAATACAGAAAATAGTGAAACATCTTCCCAGAAAGAGGATTTTTCACAGTATCCATATGGAATTTGAAATACATTTAAGGACGTTTAAGGTGTCTATTCTGTAAGAATGAGGATATTGACTCAGAATTATTATAATCCTCATTGAACAAAATTGCTCTTCTGGCAGTTCTGTTCCTTTGTAGGATCCGCTAACAATTAACACCAGTCTGACTTCCTTAGAGGGTGATGAGAAATTATATCCTATTGTATTGTGAGAAATAAATGAGGCTAGAGTTTTTAATTCTCATAATTGCCATATGCAATGGCATAGTTCAGACTGGCAGTCTGTCACATGTGAGGTCCCCCAGGGATTGACACTGGTCCCCCATACTGTTTCAACATCTTCATAAATGGTCTGGATGATGGGATTGAAAGCATCCTCATCCAGTTTGTTGGTGATGCTGAACTGGGTGGTGAGGTTGACGTGTCAGCCATCTTACAGAGAGACCTGGACAGGCTGGAAGAGTGGACTAGCAAGGAAGTATGAAGTTTAACAAAGACAAGTGCAAAGTCTTGCACCTGGGTCAGAATAACCAGAGTCCAGTACAGCCTATGATCTGTGTGGGTGTGGAGCAGTCTTGCTGAAAGGGACCTGGGGTCCAAGTGGACAACAAGTTGAACATGAATCATCCGTGTACCACTGCAGCAAAGACGGCAAATAGGTTACTGAGCTGAGGGGCATTAATAGCAGAGACAGAGACATGATCACCCCACTCAGCACTTGTCAGGCCACACCCGGAGTACTGTGTCCAGTTCTAGTCTCCACAATTCAAGAAAGACACGGACAGACTGGAAAGTATCCAAAGGAGGGCCATGAAGATGATCAAACAGCTGGAGAACCTGCCCTATTTGGAAAGGCTCAAGGAATTAGGACTCTTCTCCCTGGAGAAGCGAAGGCTCAGAGGGGGACTTTGTCACAATATTCCAGTACTTACAGGGCAGCTACAGAGAGCACAGAGGCTCTCTCTTCATAGGGAGCTACATGGAGAAGACAAGGGTCAACAGATCCAAGTTGCACTGGGAGAGATTTCATCACAACATTAGAAAGACATTTTTTACAGTGAGAAGAATCCATCACTGGAACAACCTCCTCAGGGACATGGTAAAATCCCCACCACTGGAGGTTTTCAGGACGCAATTGGACAGAGTGCTGGACAATCTCATCTAGGCTCCTTTTCCCACAAAAGGTTGGACTAGATGATCTTTTGATTCTACAATTCTATGATCTAACTGAAATTTTATTGATCATTTGCCAACATCTGATTCTTCTCGGATTGGGTATACAAAACATGGAAGATATGTTTTAGTGTGGCAACCAAATGTAGCGTCCACAGTGTCCTTGTTGTTTTGGACTTTCTGTACCATTAATAGAGCAAAACACTAAAACACAGGAGCAGATTTCATGAATAATAATTACTTATAGATATCTCCATGATAGATGTCTAATGCTCATATAGATGGATACCATATTAGGATACCGGAGTCTGACTGACTTAACCTCTTGATTAAGAATTTGTAATCTGGAAAACAGGTAACTCTCCCAGGAGCCAGTAAGTGCGTGTTTGCCTCCCTAAAGGCTCTCAAGGGAATGACAACAAATTTCCTAGTTGAATTAATGTTTAATTATGATATTATTGTAGAAAATTATGTCCACTTTCCCTTTCAAGCATTAGAAATGACAACCAAGAGCAATGTATATCATTCGAGAGTTGAACACTACACTACATGTGTGAAAGACTGTCTAGGTATCCAAGAAATTTCTAGACCAAGAATGGAGATTAATGGCCATTTTAGGCATTTCTTGGGTTAACACAAACATAAACCATGGATCACATTCATATCTAATTTCTTTCTAAATTTAATTATCATCATAAGATTAGATTCTCCATATGTCAATCTCAATGACTACTGTATTTGTATACTCTATCTGTATGTGTCTGCACACATATATATGTATATTTAAGTATACACATATGTAAAAGAATGTCCAGTGTTACCTGCATTTCCAATTTTAGATGGAGCTATAGCTCTATTCAGTCTCATTTTTCTTCCATTTGAATACGTCGGTCAAGTGAAGCACCAGTCCCAGACAAGCAATTATAAAATACTGTATTTGCCTTGTTTCCACTTTTTTGTTAATTTCTGTGTATTAAGTAAAATGATCTCTCACTTCAGTTCAGACTTAACTCTGAGTAAAAAGTAACGTTTTGTAAAGAACATCCTCTCACTCAGCTACAATGTCTATAACTTTCACTAAGGAGTCCAGGACAGACTTCATTTAGACATATTGATTAAAGCCTTTCTGTCCTTTCATCCAAGGAATTTCCACTTTCTTACAATTCCATTCTGTGACACAATTGGAAGAACAGCCTATTTACAAATACTCATGGGATGCCTGACAGTTATCCAAGTTTTGTAAGTCTTTTTGCATTTTTGGCTTAATGAATAGAGTTCATGTAGGAACTGCCGTTACTGAGCTATAAGAACAGAGTATCTCTAAACTCAGTTGACAATTTAGAAGTCTTATAAAAAATGCAGGCTTTAGAAGACAAAAATATCCTTTGTTTATGAAGCGCCTATCACTGTCCCCTAAAAGAGCATCCTCACATCACAAGCATTACTATAGTATAACAAGAACAAAAAAGTTGTCATGTTTCTGCCATTTAGATAGAAAATGACCCACAGGATTAATCCAAGGAAGACAAGAGAGTATGTAAGGGCCCAGATTGCTCTCGCAGACAGCCCTTACTGGCTGTGCCCTGCCCCCTGGGGCCTGTCCCAACCTGCCCATGGCCCAGGACCTCACTTCTTCCTCACAATGAGGTCAGCCCCTGTCCCAGCGATGCCACAGCGGGGCAGGTCTCCAGCTCCCCACAGCCCTGCACAGCCATAAGCACCACGGAGCTGGGCCCACCCACAGACCCATGTTCCAGCCTGACCTCAGCCTGTCCCGCTCCCCAGAGGGATGCCCAATGCCTGGGGCTGGGGCTGCCCCCGGTTCTCCCTGGCTTCCCTGCTCCTGGCTGGGGCTGCGGGATGGGCCCTGGCTGCCAGGCCCTGCCCTCCCACCCCAGCGAGCCTGTAATTGATGGCCTAGCTGAACTTGTCAATGCAAGACAAAAGACATGCTCGGACTCAGGCATTGAGAGCCAAAGAGTTAACAAAGGGAGCAATTAATTTGCTCTTATCTTATCAGACAGCAGTAAGGGCGAACAGCCCAACAGTGTAAACCAAGTGATCTGTGGGGCACAGCGGAGGCCACACAGCCAGAGATTGCTTCTGATAAAGAACAGGTGGTCCCTGGAAGCGCTTACCAAGATGCCCGCTCCATAGCCATGTCAAACTGCTCAGTCTGGCTTGTGATGATATGACATTCCATGCCAAGAGCCAATCGATACACAATAATTGACTTAGTCCTACCTCACAAAAAGATTTTTAAACATATAAAAATTAGCACTTGAAAAACTCTTTGGGAGGAGGAGCCAAGCGAGAACTTTAGCTGACAGACAGGTTGACAAGCCTGAACCTCTCTTCCACCCCCAAGAAGGGACGCCTTTTTGGTAAGAGTCGCACCTCTGACTGTCAGACATATCCCCGGGAATACACTGTTAATTAAAGCACTAAACCATTACCCTGAGCTCAACTTTTGTAGACAGTGTACTTATCAATGTCAATCCCTAATCTGTGATACCTGTCGCTTGAATAAATTACTTATTGCTTTAACTTTGCGAAACTGTTTCAGTGAAAGTTGTTGGAGGGGCTCTGACAGGAAAGTTGAATCTGATAAGTGGCTACACACTTCACCCTTTAGACATAAACCGTTGACCAAGTCTGGGACTAAGAGTAGATCCAGCCGCACCTAGACTCCTCTCAGAGAGTTTAGGATGCAAGGGGGTCTTCTCTGAACCTCGTGACTCAACTGGAGGGCTCTTCTTATGCTGCTTATCAGACTCCCTTACCCCTTTTAATGTAACAGAGCCCCTGTCTCTCCCAGCACTCCAACCCCAGGGAACTGCCGGCCCCTGCTGTGCCCTGACACAAGAAAATGGTAGTGATCTCAGTAAAGCTTTGCTTAAGAGGCTCCAGTGAATTCACCTTTCCAAATAAACTCTGTGACAGTTTAGCAGCACAGTTTTGCAAGTTCTTAGTAATTAGCTGTACATCAGTGCATCTTGAATGCATATTTAGAAGACAGAGGAATTCACAGAGAGTGAGTCAGAAGACAGTTGTATTATAAAAGATTTAGTAAAAGAGAAATGACTCCTTCTGAATTCTACCAACTTCTGAAATTATGCCTCTAATTCAGCTTCAATGTTGCTGATTTAGTTTTGAGAACAGCAGATTTCATGTCATGTTTAAATATTCTTCATTAGGCCTTTCCTGTACACAAAGTAATTCCTCATTATAAGTCTGACATTCCTTATACAAAAGACAGAAATTCAGTATACTATCTCCAATTAAATTTTTCTGATAAAAAAAGTCTTTTTCACTTTCCCTGGAAATTAAGCAGGCTTTTAAGCTAAAGCAAGATGACACATTTGTAGAATAGAATAAGAAAGTGTTTTGAGTCTGGAGTATTGTTAAATGGAATGTTGTTAAATGAATCATTTCATCATTTCTTTATCCAAGCGGTCTAATATATTTGCCACATATTTCACTTGCCAAAAGCTGATTGTGTTGCATGATTTCTTTCTTCCTTATTGACAATTGATGTACAACACAGTTACTAGCATTTAATATAAAATGTTATATACAGAATTAAATTTCTTCATAGTAGCTTGCACATTTTGGATTTGTGACCAAAGATTTGTTGATAACACAGGGATGGTTTTGTTATTGCTGAGCATTGATTACAAAACAATAAAGCCTTCTCTGTTTCTCACACCATCCCACCAGCAAGCAGGCTTGGGCTGGGCAAGAACTTGGGAGAGGACACGGCTGGGACAGCTGATCCCAAACAGCCAAAAGGGTATCCCATACTATATGATGTCATGCTCAGCAATAGAAACTGGAGGACGAAAGAGGAAGGAGGCTTGTTGGCAGTTATAGCATTTTTCTTCCATACAACCATTACACATGATGGAACCCTACTGTACTGGAGATGGCTGCACACTTGCCTCCCAGTGAGCAGTGAAAGAATTCCTTATTTTGCTTTGCTTGCTCATGCAGCTTTTGCTTTACCTATTCTATCCCAACCCACGAGTTGCCTCACTTTTACTCTGCTGATTCTCTCCCTCATCCCACTCTGTGGGAGTAAGTGGCTGGGTGGGGCTAAGGTGCCTACTAGGGTTAACCCACAACACATTTTAATATGTAAATTTTGAGGTGCAACTTCTAATTTATTTCAATATCCAAATACACAACATGGCATTAATTTTTTCAGTTGATCACTCATTTCCTTACATAATCCAGTATATATCTATACTTTAAAAGTTTGTGAAGCCACCAGAGAGGCAAAATTCCACAACAAGTTTTAGATACACCAGAATCAGATCAGGCTTGTGACAGAGTTCATGGGTCTGGGATATTATTCACAACTTAATCTTAGATGAGATATCTCTTCCTCTTGGTTTGGTTTATAGCACATGCTCTTTCTATAAAAATTGTCTTATAAAAAAGGAGTAAAACTACACATGCCAAATGTACATGTGAAACAACAAATTACATGGTTTGTTATGTCCCAATTGTAGTAATTCATTCTGTTCTCTGAGCTCTGGTGAGTTTGGATGAATACTGAACGCTTCATCTTTTTCCTGAAAGAGAGAAGCTAACAAGGATAAACTAAATCAAAGCTATCAAAGGAAGCTCCCTGAATGTCAGTACCATTGTTTGTACTAACCTGCTCCAAAACTCAGCAAGATAAAGATAAGCAGCACAAACAACAAATTCTGCAACCCACACAGAGGCTTGCTACCTAATAACAACTATATCTATAGCACATTTAGTACAAAACTGCTGTTGTATTCAAGCTCCACATTGGCCGCCAAGAACTGTTGTGGTTTTGCCTCCATTTGCAACAAAAGAACCACGCAGTTACTCTCTCACTCCTTCCCCCTCCCCAGTGGGATGGGGAGGAGAATCCGAAAGAAAAAAGGCAAAACTTGTGGGCTGGGATGAGAACAGTTTAACAGAATGGCAAAGGGAGAAGGAGACAATAATCAATAAAACTGATAAAAGCATATACAACACACAGCATTCTTACCACCAAATGCTCAGCTTGCTCCTGAGTAGCAAAAGCCTCTCCTTCAGCCAGCTCCCCACTTAAATACTGAGCATGACATCACAAGGTATAGAATATCCCATTTGATTGGCTGTTTGGTCAGCCCAACCAGATTGTTGCAAAAATTAACTGTATCCCAGGTGAACCCAGGATACTATCACTATGTACTTTCTATAGGAGAAGTAGGTTAAGAAAGAAATTTTTTTTTTTAAGTATTATCACCTAAATGCGACTAATTAAAGCTCAACATTTTAGTGTCATATTATCTTCTGAAAAGCTCTCTCTGAATTTGAATATTTATATGTTTACAGCACCTGAAATCTCCTCCCCAGAATGAGAACATTTCATAATAACGTCATGAAAGATGCAACACAAATGTACTCCTTGTATTTATGTGTGAGCTAACAAAGAAATGTTCTATCACGCAACTATTTTTAGACCTGTATGTTTAAATCATGGCATATCCTCACCTGAAAAGCTCCCAAGACGCGGTGCTGTCATATCTCCACCATCATATATTTCAAGAGAGTCCCAATTATGTTCAGTGGCAAAGCTGATGACCTGGATCTGTAAAATACCACCACAGAACTTTTTAAACCAACTAGCCATATGTATTTTTAAATGTTCTAGAAATGGCAAAATAAAAAGATAACATGACCCAAAGAAAATATAAATAAACAGATCCAAACAAAAATACCTGAGTGAATAAATGTAAATAAAACCTTAACATTCACTTTTGAAGTTGTCTTAACTTTTAGGAAATATGACACTAGGTAAGTAAGAAGGATTTTGCACATGTTGCATGATTTTAAATAATTACTCGAAGTGTAAATGAGCATATAATCAAGACATAATGAGCAGACCTCTCAATTGCCCCAGTGATACCCTAGCAGATAGAAAGGATTGGCATTTGATTACCAGATTGAAGGATCAGGACCTGCTTTCAATATTCTACACAGTTAAAAGTGAAAGCTGCATGTTAACCTTTTCTCATTCATACCCTCATGTAAAAATAAAATAACACAGAATAAAGCCAATCACAGAACAATACCGAGTAAACAAAGCACAAATATTTCCAGTACCCAAAATTGATCTTACTGATTACTATTTTCTTACACTTTTAGAGAAATACACAATTGCTTTTTAAATTGAACCACAAGGTACTTCATACTCCATGCTTGACAGAACATAGACTTGCCTGAATACCTGATCCCTCAGTCACTATGATTTTCCACACACAATTCAAGCTGTTACCATAAGGTTCAGGGTAACCTGGTGAAAGAATAGTACCTCTCCGCTCAGTAAAATTCCCACTGCATGGCACTGAAAGAAAGTATTATCATGAATCATTACAAAACCTAAATCACTTCAGAGAACACAAAAGTAGTAATAATTTTACTGAACTAATTATAATAATTCTGTTTTGTAGCATAAACACATAAATGTGAAGCAATGATCTGAACTCAGAAAGCAATGTTATCTAAAATACATGAACAATATCAAGCATAACATACAACCTGCATGAATAAACAATCCAGAAGTGAACTTGCTTTTGAGTGTGTTCAGCCTAGAACAGCCTAGCAGCACAGTCTAATCATCTCTTACCTAAGAGTAACAACAAATTGTAAAGACATGACCTTAAACACAATCATGATTGACAGAAATCATGTGAACTTACCCAAAACCTAAGATAGTTCCAATATTGTATCTAGCTGGTAAAGCAGCGTGGCACATTAAATATTTCTACTCTATACGCAATTGCTTCTTTAAGGTTCAAGAAAACAGAACTAAACTAAACAAAAAACCAGAACACACAGAAAATAGGACACCTACATCTATTTTTAGAACACTCTAATTAATGATAGACTAAATTCCTATGAATAGCTATGACTTTTGGACATAAATCCCAGGAGGGAGAGAAGAAAAGCTTTCAACATTTGCAAAAAAAAAAATTTTTGACATGCTAAACATTATCCCACTGCAGGTCTGTTGACGGACTGAAGAAAATTAGCTATACTTAATAATACTACCATTATTCAATGTACACTATGCTTCCACTTGAAAAAAAAATCATCATACTATATATGATAGAAATATGAAACAAGTACTGTGTAATAAAACAGGTAAAGACACTTCCGAATAATTAAATTCTGTCCTGTCTCTCAAGCTGTAGATGAGTCATGAAAATAATGAATGTTCAAGAAAATGTGAATCACACTTGTTCATATAATCTAAGCCATTATACGAAATGCTATATTGCCTACCAGCCGGCTAGTACTCAATTACTTTTTGATATGGAAAACTACTCTTTTAAATTGGACATGACTGATATTAATTGAAGGAGAGTGAATATATGTGTTAAATACTATTTTCTGAAACAGATCCTGAATTCTGATTCAGAGACATGCTTGACAGAACAGATGACTTAAATGTAATTTCTTACCTACACAGGTTGGTACTGTGTCATTCCACTGAGCTAAGGCATTAGGCACAGACTGACATCGGATAGCTTTTGAGCCTTGTAGCAGATAGCCAGGACTACACTCAAATCGAACAACAGAGCCTGCTGAAAACTCGGAGCCGATTCTCCTTCCATACCTAGGCTCTGGAACTGAGCTACACTGCGTATCACTTGTGCGTGGAACAGCTGCATAAGGAGAGAAATAAAAAAAAAAAAAAAGATGCCATGAATCCAAATGATAGTCATCATCTAAAAAATAAACAGACCACTAAAAATGCTCCCTGTTTCTTGTAGGACAGAGCTCAATTGTGTTTGTTCCTTTTACTTGCTATGCTCCTGTATTCTCAAAGAATGGTCTGATGTTTTCACGGCTGTTAGCTGGACTGCGGTTTTGGGCTGTGACCGTGTACAGTCATGTGAGTGCCATGGCAGCTGGGAGAGCAATTGACTTTGGAAGCACGTCCTTAGGCATGAGAGGATCAGAGGGTGCTTCAGCTGCCTTCTTTAATGATAGGATACTATACCTACCATGTATTTTACTTATTAAATATGGAAGTTTGGGCTTCTTGGTAGAAGTTTCTCATTAGAAGACAAGAAAAATATTATGCTGTAGATAATCAGATATAAAACCAATGTAGTATTACACAAATATTTCATTTATAATATTGGAGAATACAAAGCAATAATAATGTACTCTCAAGGCTATTTCAGTGTTTACAGTTGACAACAACTATTTTTACCAATAATTTCTGAGAATTCATAAACATGATGTGATACAAGAATAATTAAAAGAGTGTAAACAACATTTAAATAGCAAAATAATAAAATTCATTAGAAGCTCATGGGTTTCTTTTCACTTTGGCTTTGTTATTTATAACCACATCTTTACAACAGGCATTTTTTTTTACATACTGACTCTTGGTATTGTGTATGTTATTTGTTCATCAAACTTGTTCCTTCTACATTTCATTTTGTAGTTAGCTAGTAAATGCCAACTTTTTTAAAAAAATATATTTATAGAAAAAATTGCAGAAGTATCATTTGTGTGTAATATCATCTATGTCTTACACTACAATTAAATAAATGTACATTAAAAATAATCTCATTAAATATAATCAGTTTTTCTGTGTCAGTGGCATGTTCAAAGACTTTGTTTGATCACTTTGGTTTCTTTGAGTTCCAGGGGATCTACTGCATCTAGATATGAATAAGTAACACCATGAAAATTGCCTGCCATTTGGTCCTTAATTAACAAAGACACAAATGGCACAGGAAAAAAAGAAGGAGGGGGTGGTGGTCTAGACTTCATTCCTGGAAGATCTTCAAACATGATGTTTCTGGCTTACTAACCTATTTTAAGACTAGTGTAAACAGAATCACGGTTATATTTATTTTTATTTTACATCCTTATATTTAATTTTCTTTGCTGGTCTGTAACAATGAAAAGCAATATTTCCATGTATACATGTACACACCTGTACACCCCCCCACACTTGTTCAGCTACCCTAGTCACTAAGTAAAACACAAGGTGTATGGAGTCTATATATACTTATTTTCATATTAACAGCTTTATGCTTTTCTTATTTCTTGTACTGTGATTTGCTCTATTCAGAATCATAAATATTTAAGTACACTAGTTTTAAGCGCTGGTAAGTGCTCTAGAAGTTAACTTTCGTTGACAAGCTTGATACAGAACACTAATTGAAATCAATCCTATCTTAAATCTGGCATGAAATATGAAACACATTTTAGCAGAACATTGGAAGTTCTCATTTATGATTGCATTAGCATTAGGTTCTACCAGTTTTCTATACTGCTACTGAGAATAACAGTTAAGCCTATGCAAGTATTATTGAATGTAGAGAAAAGCTTTTTCAAAGAAAGCTTAGAAACTATTGGTATTGGCAATAACAGAACAGTAACAGAACAATATATGCTCTTTTTATTAATACGCAGTGGGCTGACTTGTCAGACAAGGTCATGCAGATACAGTAACATATTTTCTTCTACATCAGTAGGTCACATGGTTGTAGAACATTTTAGCCTTGAAAGCTTAAGAAAGTTACAAAATGCATCCAAGACTGAAAGAAATGGTCAGAGGTAAACTAACATACTCCTGCAATGATAACTACACAGTGAAGCAGAACAAAAGCAAATATATTTTTTAAGCTTTTAAAATGGTTAAATACTTTACATAGCATAAACAAACCACTTCCCTTTCAGGAAATTTAATATACCTGCCTTAGTTCAAATAAATGGGATTTTGTGATTGAGTTTCTAATAGGCCCTCACTATCACCCAGGTGCTTTGTGAAACTTGCTGATGCATACTGTTCTAACCACGACAGGCAATTGTTCTGCACTTGTGGTAGGATAATGAAGGAACCATCGCTGAAGGATTTCACGTGCTCGCAGTTCTTGCTGATCATAACCTGCAGACCAGAGGCAGTCTGCCAGGTCAATTCAACTGACCCAGACTGCTCTTTTTTGTTCTCTTTTATTGGGACTAATAGCCTTTTCCCTATCAAATGGTCTACTGTCCAAGCACTATTTCATTCAAAACTTGGTGGTTTTTTTATTGTATTATGACTTTACAACTGACAAGGTGATGATGGCTGCTCACACATACAGTCATGTGACTGTCATACACCTAGAACTACAGCTTCTGCCACATGATTAGACATTAATCTACCCCTTGGTCAGCACTGCTTTCTCAAAAGGGGAGTTTTGGTCATGAGATAAATAATTCGTAATCATGTGATAGCAAAATGTTCAATACATTGTTGTGGACAAACCAGTTTTGACTACCAGAATTTATACTTAAATATGCTTAATTTAATTTATCACCAGTTAACACAAACCTCTGATCACTGATTCAGGAGATAAGAAGAAAGAGGACACAAACTATCAAACAACACCTTAAGTAAACAGCTTTCCTTCCCTCTCCCTGGGCCCACCCTCAGTCAAACAGCTATCCTCCCCCGCCCTTGTCTCAACCTCCTGGTGACCATTTTAGCTCCTGTACTTAGCATTTTACTCATTTTCTCTCCTGCTTTTTGCTTCTTCAAGTTTTCACATTGCTCTGCTTCTTAGTGTTCCTGGTCTGGTGTGGGTCACTCATGAAATGCAGTTGTTCAGAGATGTCCCCCAACTGCTGAATAGGACTTTCACAAGCTGTCAACCCCTCTGAGATGTTCTTACTTCAACATGGATTACCCACAGGCCACAGGCCATTTAGAAGTGTTGCCCCTTTGGCCTGGAGGCTCCCTTTCCAATAGTGTCTCTCCAACAGTCCCTCCAGCAGCATCTCCAGAGGGATCTGTTCCACTTGCCCAGAAGCATTTCTGACCCAAAATAGTTGTCACTTTCTCCAGTATCATTGTGAACAGGCACTACATGCTCCTCTGACTGGTGAAAGTTTTGGCATGTGAGAGGTTGCTCCAGAGGAAGCTGTTTGTGAGTGGCACATGGTAGCTCACAACCTTCTCCCACACAGCTTGCCCCTACAGCCCCCTGCTAGTTAAACTTTTAGATTTACATGTGTCTAAACCTTACCTGTCTTCCTAAGAGACTATATGACCTGACTGAAAATTTCAGCATCATTCCTGGAGTATTTTTCATTCACTGTGTGGAAGAAACTCTTACCCAGTCATTTATGGGAATACTACCTTTCCCTGTTTATTTTTTCACCCACTTCCTCAAAAGGGAGGAAGTTTCAGAAGCAAATCCTTGCTTGGATTCTCTAACCCTCACCTGGAGAATCCCCACAACAGCTATGCAAAGGTAAAGGATGTTTTATAAGAATTAGATTAAAGACTACCCTATAATTGTCAGTAATTAGAGCTGGCAATTTGCATACATGCATTTGTAATCCAAACAGATTTTTTGTGTAACTAGCATTTTCAGCACCTCTCAACAAAGGATTTCAAATGATCTGATTTCATTACAATATTGCCTTATGAAAAAAATGTTCCCGTGAGCCAGCTATCTCTGCTGGCTCATTATAAGCTATCTCATTATAAGAAATGTAGGGACAGTTTAATAAAACTCTTAAATTAGTTCATGTAGCAGAAGATTGCTATGTGCTTTCTTTTCAGACTGAAAGTTGCCATTTTACTGAGAGCAGCCAGTAAGTAAAGCAATTATTCTGCCTGCAGCAGGAAACACTCAATGCCATGCTAGAATTGATATTTTCTCAGTTTTTCACAGCTTTTAATAAACTTCTGTTAATGGTTAGAGTGAGATAAGAAATGCTAAAGCTGCACAAATAAACCATGCCATTCACTATAAGAGGCACCATTGTGTCATTTTTTTGTGTACCATTTTTTTTCCTATTTTAAGAACTGCCATAAGCATAAACGTCATGCAAGCCAGACATAACAACAAAGTGAGGTACTCCCGTACTGTTTAAAATGGAATTTAGATTTAAGTAATCTATGGCAAAATGCGGTACAGTTTCAAACATCTATAAAAAAATCAGGAAAATCATAGAATCATAAAATCATAGAATGGTTTGCGTTGGAAAGGACTTTATAGATCATCTAGTTCCAACCCCCCTGCAATGAGGAAGGACTCCTTCCATTAGACCAGGTTGCTCAAAGCCCTGGTGTGTTCCAAAAAATAGGTATGTTCCTCTAAAAGGTGACAACAGCCCATGTTAAGTTCAAGCATGTTGTTAAGGGCATTGTCCTAATGCTTGTCAAACACTGACAGGTTTGGGCATCGACCACCTCTCTAGGAAGCCTGTTGTAAACCAGGACATAATGTGTCATGGCAGCATATATGGAAAATAATACTAACAGTCTTAGTTCTGCTCTCTAATCATACTTAGCAGTAAGTGTATGGTTATGTATTTTATTCTTGTCGCAGATTAAATCAACTTCATTGTTAAAGTCACGTTCCCCTTTTAGTTTTTGTCTGTCTTTCACAGCCTTTTCTCATCCTAGTATGCTAACTTTCTCAACAGTCCTCTTTAAAATCTCTTTTGACCTCATGAACCAATTCATGTATTTGTGTGGTAGAGCAAGTAAAGGAAGACAAACATTAAAAACTCATACATTTTTGGGTGGTAGAAAGGTCATTACTTTTTTTTTTAGGGCCTCAGAAATACAAAAATATAGGTTTTTGTTTCTTAGGTGATGTTGTAGCAGGAAAACAAGCATAAGACAATGCTGAATAAAATGAAATTCCCAGTCTTCTTAAATGTGATTGTTCCTAGCATATTTCAACATACCTGACCCTAATATTCTGAGAGACTTGATATTCATTCAGTCTGATACTACAGATACCTTTTACCTATTGTATGAAATAGAAGGAAATGTGGTCATCTGAGAAAAAGAAATGAAGGCACAGATGACATACGCAGCTAAAAAGAAGTTTTTGAGAAAGTGGGATTGCAAAAGCCATTAAATCTGAATCAAAAGCTACAAACCTTATCTGTTGCTTGCTCAAACCAGAATGTGAAATAAAGCAAGCTATAATTTTTTTTCGCTATCTAGCCTTCCTTCTAGCTTTTGTCTATAGCATTAGCAACCTAGACTTCTCAAGCTGTATCACAGAGACATTTCATTTTCTATAGTAATTGCACTCCATCTTTTAGTAAATGTTTCATACTGCTGTGAAACAAAATTGAAATCAGCCCAGTGGAAGAGTGAACAGGAACGAAGGTCATCCTGGAATAGAGGGCAATAAATAAAATGATTGACTTTGCAGACCAGATTATTGTGTTTAGTGTAAGAGTGGCTATTATTCTCTGCACTATTTAAAAAGGCTAGGAAGCAGGTGGCCATTGGAAATATGATCACATGCTTCAAAACAATATCAAAATGATAAAGTTTATTAAATATCACTAACTCCTTAACCAATATATGTATACATACACATGTGTATTAAATAAAGCTCTTAAAATATATTTTAAAATGCATTAAAAAACATGGACATTCAAATAACTTCACAATTCTCCTGAGACAAATAAAGTGGCTTTGCCTGACTCATTTTTCTGCTGCTGCAAAGAACACTTATCATTTGTTAAAATCTATTTGTTACAGTTATTAAAAAAAATGTGTAGTCCAAATAAATTGCTGCAATGAGGCATATCACTGCGCTCACCTGGAGGCTTATGGTTCAACAGCAATATATGAATGTGTGTGTGTACATACACATATACAGCTAATAGAATTGAGGCTTTGTATCACTATAAATTCTTTAATACAGCAAAAAATAACAAGACTTTAGGCATATGAAAACCAAATACAGTGAAACAGACAGGTGTCATTCATATGCAAATTGTTGATAAGAACTCAAATGCTGAAATCTGTTTTCTAATTCCAGAAGTTCATATTCCCCCTCTTTTCCAATTAATTGTGCATGATAAATTTAAATGTAAGTGGTGTTTTTGATATGTAACAAGAGAAGGTACTGATCTCACGAGCTGTTTGCAAAGTAGAGCGTGCCGTCATGGTGATATCTTTCTACAAACATAGAAGTAAGAATGCTTAAAAACACTATCCAGAAGGAGTTTGGAAAGTCCTAACAAGCTCCTCACAACTATGGAAATATTCTTGAGATGAGACAGTTCTTTCTGTTAATTTGCTGTGTCAAACCGTGACTGTGCTTCAATGTGAAAAAATAAAAAACACCTTGTTTTATAAAAAATGAATCTTAATAATATTATTTAAAACTATCCAAAACTACTTTTATACTTCAATTCAGTAAAGCTGAAAAGCTAGTATATACTAAACCACAGTGTTCACTGACTTTCTCATTAAGCTTATTGGGTGTGTATGCAATACATCTAGTGGACTGCCCAGAAGCCCCTCTGGGACAGCATTTGTGGCCTTTACAGGCAATGAACCTGTAAGCAAGCCCTGCTCCAGGTGTTGCCAGACTGCATTCGCTAAGACACGTGGATGAACTTGGTGTTCTAAGGTGCCTAGCAGCATGCTAACAGACGTGGGCATGTTGTCTCATTCTTGCATTTCAACTGCAGTGTCCAGACATGCACATAAAGACCTGCAAGTCTTACATTTGCCACCCGTCCTTCAATACTGAAACTGCCTCATGGTCTTTGCCATTCCAATTTTCCCTCCATGCTCTCCAAGCAGAGCTGAGACTTTCATAAGTACCTGAAAATATTTTATTTTTCTTTTCCTTTTCTTCATGTCTTGAGAAAGCTGAAGTGAACAGTACTTCTAGAGATAAAGAGTTTAGGTGAATGTAACAAAGATTCTTATTACAGTTCTTACGCTGTACTCACTTGTTAAATGAGTAACTGTCAGTATAGAATAAATCCCAAAATTTATTTTTCTATTGTTTTTGCTAGAAAATGATCACTATTTCATATTGTAACTGTGATTGGATGGGGCCAAAATTAAGTATAAAATAAATGTTAAGAATACAATTAAGTATAAAAGTATAAAATCTTTCTTTTTATGTTTATTATCTGTTTCACTTAACTGGATATTTCTTCACCAGAACCACAAGACCTATTTTCTGTCTTTACAATGTCTGAATATAAAACAAAAATTGTTGGAATGTTGATATTGTGTCTAATAAAATCTACTGGTTTTAGTTTTACTAATTTATTGAATTCCAAAATACAGGTAGCAATTCTGGGTGGATTTCCAGTGCCCATTTCAAATGCTACCCAGTTGCATGTTTTCACTTTCATCTCAGGAAAATCTGGCTTTTAAGAGAGATCAAATATGTGCCTCCTCTAGTCCATAGCAGTCTAGCAACTGACATCCAACCCAATACAAAACAAAGCTGTATATCTCCTTTTGCTTGAAACTAAATATAATAGACCTTGCGTTTAGAAAACAAGTTTTATGGTCTTGTCCCTACTCATTTTAGTCAAGCAAAACACTGGCTAGATTTAATAGATATTTCTATCAGATAATTAAATAAAGTAGCTACAATCTGACTAGCTGCTCACAAACAGAGAAGGGCTGTTTGTGCATGTGGATATGGACGCCAGTTCAGGCTGCAAGGACCGCAAGATGATTAAGCTGCGGAATTGGCAGAAGGTTGGAATTAAGGTGAACAGACTTTGGCATACTCATGAAGTTGGTACATAGACTCTCCTAAGGAACAGGCATGAGGCGGAAGGATACTGGTGAGTGTTTTCTAGAGAGATATGAGAGCCTTGGAACAAATTATCACATTGCAAGGGAATACCGGGAATTTGGGCAGAAAGCTTGAAGAGTTAGACCAAGAGATTTTCAAATGATTTAAACACAAAAAGGGAACATACCACAAGTGGCACCAAGGACAGGTAATAAATCAGGAGTATGACACCACTGCTCAGCTACATAGAAACAAAAATTTGGAAAGTCTAAGTCCAGCTGGAGCAAAAAATAGCAAGAGACATTAGGGAAAAAGAGTCTACAGGTATGCTAATTACAAAGGGAAGTTCAAAATATATGTGGGTAGGTTGATGCATGGAGGGGAGAGGGAGGTGTGGACAACCTAATGGCAAACAATGCAGAAAATATTTAAGTATTAACTATCTTGTTTGCCTTGCCTTCACAGTCCTCACCGTGCACTTCTAAAGTCTGAGGACATAAACAGTCAGCAGTAAGGGAGCAACAGACTACAGACTACTGAGAGTGGCTGGACTTATTCAAGTCCATGGGGCCAGACAAGATTCACCAGAGAGAACTGCCACTATGAAGTCAGTCTACCATCAGGAGAAGTCCCTGGTGGCTCAAAAAGGTAAAGACTACACCCATATTTAAGGAAATACCTTGGTAAACAAAGTGGAACCCCCTGGCTGATGCCCCACTCTTAGCACTGAATCGCAGAAGAATTTGATTAGATGTAGCCAAAGGCAATGTCTCTCCTGCAAATGAAAACAGAAAATAAATTAAATGCACAAAACAGAAACAACAATTACAACTGTTCAGCATGTAATCAAATATACTGGTAAAATACATAGTTTTATTTGTTCCTCTGTAGTTAAAGAAAACATAAATAACAGTATATAAAGCTAAATTTGCCTTTGGAGGTTTGAAAACTTGTCAGAATAAAAAGATTTCATGATTCAATAACATAAACTTTCTGGCATTTACTGCAGGTGCTGGAACTAAATCTCCAATACATACTTGCCTGGGGAATCCTACTGTCATCTGGGGCAAAAATCATTAGAAGAATTTTTGGTTAACTTTTTTCTGTCACTGAGAGCTCTACCTTGCCTTGCAAAACACATTAAACAATCAAAGAATTTGAAAAATGCTACAAGGGATCTTCATGTGATGATTACCATTTCATAATAAAACTGAAATGAGAGAAAATAGATCCATGACTCATTTTATGTAGCTGCTTCAATAAAATATAGTCACACATAAACTATCTTACATTATTAACTTTCTAATGACATTTCATATTTTATATAATGACTTGAAGATTAATAAAGATGTTTAATATACTTTATCTCCTTTCCTGAGATATCTCAGATATCTATCTACAGTTATGATAAATGTTCAGCATCGAATCACTACAGACTAAATTACAGTACTTTTACACTTCAAGGGTGCCACTCCACACGACAACTGTTTTTATTCTCATATCAACCCATATTTTAGGAAATTCTACTGAAATTAATGATAATGCACTAATTTAAAATGTCTTAGATAACTGGGTAGATAGGATTTGCAGTTCTTTAGCTTAGATTAGTTTTATATTATTGTAACTAGTGTTTCCACGTAAAAGAATCCTATCCTAAACCAATGTAAATCAGGTATGTCTCAAGTAATAAGTAAAAATCACAAGTTTAAATTCCCTTCAATTATTTTCAAATGTCTGATGTGAAAACAAACATTAGTTTAAACTTTTTAATACAGTTGCTGCAGTAAAATTGGGTGCTTAGATGAGTTGTCTCAAACATTAAAAAACAAATATTTTGTTTTGTTTCTAACCTCTTGCCACTAATTAAATAACTTTTACAGTTAATTTGTGAACCCTTATTATGACACGAATAGCTAGGATTCACCAGAGGAATGCAGATGAGCTGAATTTTTCAAATAATAAAATGTTGTTTATAAAACAAATAGATATGTTACATTCTTGCCATATCAAGTATTTCTCCAAAACCAAGAAGCCATGAAAAGCCCTGGACTGCAAAAATCTTAAACTCACATATAAACTCTCCTAAACAGTAGGAGTGTATGACAAAATATATTCATAGCTGCAGAAATATATTTATATATTATCCACTTGAGATGAACATCGTTATTATATATGCACACATTGGAAATTCTGACCATCCTGAAATCTATAGAAGTCTAATTATGATTTCACAGGGTTAACATTTTGCTATAGTTACTTGAATGCAACAGCTGGTCTGCTTTTAGTCTAAGTGCATGTTTGCATATAGATAATTGCATTTTGTGAATACAAGTAATTTTTGTTTAAATTAGAGATTCAGAAAATGTAGATGTATAATTCAGAGTTTAGGGGCAGAGAAGATAATTATACCATCCAATCTGCCCTCTTACACAGAGATCTGAGAACTTCATTCAATTATTTCTGCACTCATCCCAGTGATTTTTTTTTGCCAAAACCACATTTTCCAGAAGAATGTCTTGATTCAAATATTTTGAACAGTCTTCCATTTCCCTTGGCATCCTGTGCCAATAACTTTACTATTATATTTCCAAATGAAATTCATAATATTCTCCTCATTTATTTTTTCCTTACTGAGCTGTGTAAGAAACATATACCTCTTTTCTTTACTACTTACCTGAGTGGGATCCAGACAGTGAACTAAGAAGTCTAGCCTGAGAGCTTTCTCCATCAAATAATTCTGCCACATCATTCAAAGCTGTCTGAAAATAGGCAAATTGTCCAAATACAACTACATTTAAAAAAAAGAGGACAAAAAATTAAAAGAGAGAAGATAAAACAAGAACCTAGTGTTTAAGAACAAATTTAGTGAGATACGGTTGCTTGTCTTATTTACCAGTGGATTCCTGCATGTATCCTTTCCAAACTAATTTATTGTCTACCATGATAAAACAGCTGCATTAAACATAGGTAATAAGAATGTAATATTGATCTTGTTTCATATAATAATAAAGACTAGTAATCAAGAGTTCAGTATTAGAATGACATTATGAATTCTGATTAGCAGATGTAATAAACTTTCCCCAAGCTCTCAACCTGTAAGTCTCTAATTGCTTCTGTCAGCAGCTTTCCAAATTCCTTGGTGGAAAAACTGCTGAGTCTTTACAGGTTTTATTGCGTATAAAATGTACCAAACACACTAAGTTGCTGCACATTCAGTCTTTTGGTAAGTAACTAGTAAAACAGATCTCATAGCTATTTTTTTGGACTTGAATTATGGAAACCTGCTTCGCAGAAAACCACGACCTGCATAAAATTGCACAAGTTTTAGAGATTTTGTCCAAACATTTTGACACAATAAAATAATTATTTTTGTGATTTTTCAACAACATTTCTAGTACTTTTATGTAAAATTGCTTACTTTCCCTCTACTGTACTTGTTAAATGTGATCCTACTCATCTTGCCCTTGTTAAAACATGAAAAACAAAAAGTTTAAATATAAGAGAACATGATGCTTGTTTTTTGACAACTGATTTTACTTTGTAGGAAGCTTGAATGAATGATTATCCTATAATGATGTAATCAATTAAAGTATTCAGGATATGACTGGATAGCAGACACAGATGGCTTAGCTGAAGTCTATTGATTACTCTAGAGAGAAGAAAAAGGTCAAAACTCTAGAATCAATTTTTGTGTTAGGAATAAAATTTTGATAAACAATTTGCAATATATTGAAAACTTAAGGTCACTATTACACATGAAAGACATTTGAACAGTAGAACAATAATTAATGATTGGTAAATCAGTAGAAGAAATTCTTACCAAATTCTTTAGGTACAGTTATTGAATAATGGCAAGTCTGTCCAGCAGTGTAATTATGAGGATAACTTGGTGATAAAACCACTCCCTCTGATCCAGTATACTGCCCTCCACATGGTGCTGGAAACAAACCAGAAAGAAATGTGTTATATTAATTACAGTTGTCTGTATTAGTTCAGTATGAAAACAAAAACCTAAAGGCGAAAAAGTGACAGTTTATTGCTTTTGTTTGGCTTTCCTATAATGACATACCTAACAGTTCTTTCTCAGGATATAATTTTTATTAAAATTTCATTAAAATTAGAATACATGAGAGTTTTACTTGACTACCAGTGTTCATACTGGACTGGAAATATAAATTATTTAGTTGAAAGAAACTGTAAGCACAAAATTTAGGTGTGGTTTTTTTTTTTTTAATTTGAATATATCTATATCTATCTATATCTATCCATCTATGTAAAAAGAAAATCTCAGAAAAAAATATGGTACTGCATAAAGAAATGGCACAACACAGTTATCTTAAGTCTTAGAGGAATACATAGGTATTCTAAATACCCTGCACAGAATGCCATGGATTCTGCTTTGTGAATGTGTGCTTGAATTGCCTTGCTTTTCATAACTTACTAGATGATTATCAAAAGAGCATATAGATTATACATATAAAAAAATCTTCTAATTTATATGTATATAAAACAGAACAGAAAGAGTAAGAGAAACTCTTTAGAGCTACAGAAGCCAGCAGGGGTATTTAAGGATGGTGGAGCCCCAGCCTTCCACACTAGTCAGGCATTATGTAAGTAGCAGTTCTGCCTGTATCATGCGAAAAAAATGAACAATGCATGTATGCTCTGTTCCTTCCACGCACCAGCAGTAAATATGGCTTGCTAAGGGACTGCTGGATTTACTAACTGTAACTGAAACCATTACATCACAGGAAGTCTGTGTCTCCAGGATTTCTCAGAAAATGCCACAGCAGGGAGTGGATGAAAGGGATATGCACTTTTGGAGAAATACCTAACATAGGGTGGCTATTTTTAAATTAAAAGATCTCCTTGTGTTGGACATTGAGTACATACATTTCTATACAATGAAAACAAAGTATTGTTGTCACTCTTCTCAACTTTTGAGAACTAATGGAAAGACTTGACTTGCTATCAAAATCTTCATTAAAATGTAAGTCTTATAATAATTACATTAGTTAAATGCAATCCAGTGCTCTTTTTTTTTGTGAAATTATTCCACCAAACACTATTAAAAACTACTAAAAAATGTAGATTTTACTATTTTACAAGAATAAAAGATTGTTGTTCACTGTTCTTTCACCCAATAAGCCAAAAATAAAGTTATTTTAAAAATAAATAAATAGATCAATTAAATTATAAAAAAAGAGAACAGTCATTTAACTTTTGTTTTTAAGCAAAGAAAACATCACCGCATAATCTAAACAACCACTTTCTACTATAAGCAGGAAAGAAAACCAACATTACTCAGCTCTAGGAGTCTTACATGCAGAAAATCACATTTCAACTACTGGCTGGAAAGTAGCTCTGAGGAGCAGGACCTGGGGTCCAGGGGGACAAGGTCATTGGTCTGGGGCTATCAGAGGACCCTGTTACCAGCTCTTGGCTCTGCTGATCCAGCCCATGTGCTGTAGGACTGAGCCTAGTGAGTGAGGGCACAGCCTGGGCTTAGGTCACCCTTGGCTCCTGGCTCATCTGCCCTTGAGCAGCAGACCTGTTCCTTCTGCTCCCTGACAGCAACCGGGCTTTAAAATCATGCTTGAAATATCTCTACAAGTTTAAGTTCCTTATACAGGCAGCAATTAATACTACATATCTGTGCCGTCTCTTAGCTGCTTATATGAATTATTCAAAAATCCAATGTAATGATAGAAGATGAGAAGCTTAATCTGTCAGTAGGCTGAATAGGATTACGCGGCTGAGGTGAAACTTGAATATCACAAGGAATCAGTCATGCCATGGATTTTAAACCTTTATACTTCTTTCTTTTCTTGCTTTGAAGATACCAGAAACTAAGCCACAAAGTCTGTTGTCTAATTACCAGATGAAATTCTCAAGCCATGAACATTTCACCGGAATCAAAGTATATCACTTCTGCTTAATCCAAAACAAATTCCAAAGTTATGGAGTTGTAAAAATGTTCCCTTCGAAAATGTTTTTTCCTATTTTTAAATAGGTTTTTTCATAATATCTTTGATAGTATATGTGATTGATAGCATCTTCGTAGCATATCCACTCTGTAAGCAAAGCCTGTGAGCGCTTAGGTGAAGAAAGGTGCGAGAAAAGTTCTCTGGTAGGTTAAGGCTGTAAAATTTATCAGTGCAGTGCTGCAGCAGTCAAACATATCTGAAACAGAGCTCTCAGTTTTGACTATAAGTAATGTTTTTTTAGTGAACAAAACCTACATTTTCAGAGGATGTAATTTAATAACTTCATTAAGGATTGAAAGTTAATACTGAAAAGAGTATGCCTGAGACTTTTCATTAGTGTTTCAGAATATACCTACTGGCAGTTGCCAACTGTTACCTAGATAAATATGAAATTTATTTTCATCACGTCTGACTGTAAAATGCTACCTTAAAAAAAACCCATAAAAACTACACCATAGTGCAATAAATTTGAATTAATTCACTTGATTAGTGTAATAGACTTCAAGAACTAAGTGCATCATTTTACAGAAACTCTTAGAATTTACTATACAGCACTCATTTTGGGTTCTTTTCCATTTTTCACGCTTGTAATGTTTTTTTTCATACAATAATTTAAAGAAGTTAAAAAGAGGACAATTAACTATGACTATAAATAAAGAAATTTAAACTCAGAGCATTGTGTTAAAATTGCATCATGAGTATTTTTGTTTGACATTTTCAGTTTTGATCGGGTTAAGCTATATATTACAAGAAGGCTTTCCGTGACCACAAAGGTGATCCTAAGAGTATTTTGTATAGGAGGCCAGTATTTTTTTGGACAAAATACACTGGCCTTCTACATGACTCCCACCCCTAAAACTATGTATAAATACATTTTATATGATGGAGCTGCATTTCATATCTATATTTAATCATAAAATAATTTGGTTTTACACTTTCCACTAACATCATTGTTGTCCTACTTAAAATTACTGATGTCTCAATTTTACTCAAAACCATGCCCTGTGACAATAAGAAGGATTCTTTACTCTATTTCCTGTGGATCTTTGACACAGCCATCATTACAGTTTTATGGTAAAATAAGACTCACAGCGATCCAAAGAGCTCATGCCGTCCTCAGTAATCTATGGTTGCATTATAACCCACAAGTTGAGATTTTTGTCCTTCTTTTAAGTCAAGTCTATTTTATTAAAGAGTTATTTAAGACTCCACAAAGGAGTATAAACAGATAGATATTTATTCATCTAGTATAATTTACTCCATACTAGAGACACAAGTGTAGCAGCCATGTAAATGATCATTTAAAAACCTCCACACCTTAACTGAAGTCATAAGTGTATGCATTTTAAAATGGAACATGCAGTAAATCATACCAGACAAACAGACTTGAAGTATTTTCACAAGTATATGTTCCAGTTTAGTTTTACTCACAATTAACAGCAGCGAGATACCCAAACTTTCAGTTCGTAATTTCTGTTTCTTTAGACACCCAGTGTTATTTAGAATAGATATCACAAGCATTTTAATACCGCATTAGTTGTCACCTTGGAATAAGAATTATAATTACTGAGCCAAAAAATTAAAATGATGTCTCAGAGCTGTGGCTAACAAATTTATCCTCTATTCTTTGTTTCACCACTTATGTCATATAAATACAGAACAATTTTAACAAATCAAAAGAAAGTTACATATTTTAGTTATTGTCAATAAAGTACTAAATTATTTATCTTGAAAAATAATCTCCTGTAAAATCTTAGATTTTTAATTAACTATTGGATGATCCTCAAAGTGAAATCAGTGTGAGATATTGATGCTTATTTTGTTAAAAAACAGGTATTGTTTTAGGAGCTCTGTCTGTCTGTTCTAGACCTTTATTTCTGGATGTAAAAAACAGAAGATTCAAAAGAACATTGACCCTATGTTTTTTTATTTCGTATTTTAGAAAGTGTTATAAAATTTTGTTTTATTAATATTTTAATAGCAAATTGTTTCCTAATAAATAGGTTATTATTTCTGCTTTAAAAATTAAGAAAATAAATGTTGATTTTTAAATTTAAATTTGAATTTTGTGTTAAAAACACAAACAGCCAAAACAACAAGGTGAGAAGTATATCAGTTTTCAAGGTGAACCACAGGTCATTTTTCTTTTTCCAACTACTCAGTCTTTTATAAAAACTTAATACAAAATATAATGGTTCTACAAGTGTACTTTCATAAGGTATTAAAGCTAAGCTATTTTAATGTCACAGCAAAAGCTACATTCTGCAGTCTTTATAAGTTAAGCAGTTCACATGCTCTAGACATTCATCATACAGAGGCAAAAAACATTTACTATTTTTCTTTAAACTATTTAAAAAACGAAGTTACTGAAAAAACAACCCCTGATAAAAAAAAAAAAAAGCATCCAAATTCCTCTTGTTTGTTGATGGTGGTTAACAAGTTGAACATGAGCCAGCAATCTGTCCTTACAGCAAAGGTGGCCATCAGCCTCTCGAGCTAAATGCTAGGAAGATCATTTGCCAAAACACCAAGGAAGGTCACCTTCCCCTGCACTCAGCGATGGCGAGGCTACATCTGGAGTGCTGTGTCCAGTTCTGGGCTCCCCAGTACAAGAAATACATGGACTTAGTGGAGTGGGTGCAGTGAAGAGCCACGAAGGTGATCAATAGACTGGTGCATCTTGCATATGAACTGATGCTGAGAGAGCTGGGACTGTTTACCCTAAGAAATAGCAGGTTCAGGGGGATCTTATCAATGTCTATAAATACTTAATAGGAGGAAATGAAGAAGAAGGAGGAGCCAGACTCTTCTTAGTAGTGTCCACTCACAGAACAAGAGTCAATAATCAGAAATTTAAGCACATAACGTTCCATCCTAAAACAAGAAAACACTTTTCTACTGTAAGGGTAGTCAAACACGGGCACAAGTTGCCCAGAAAGGTTGTGGAGTCTCCATACGCAGAGATACTCAATACCCAACTGGACACAGTCCTGGGAAATCTGTTCTAGGTGACCGTGCTTGAGAAAGGAGGTTGGAGTAGGTGATCTCTGGAGGTCCCTTCCAACTTCAGTGACGATATGTACAGGGATAAGCTAATTACAGTGTAGGTTTGAGGACTATCCATGAGGCAGGGTCAGAAACAGAACATTAAACAAGTTCATATAACATAATTCAGGCAGGGAGCGAAGGCCCAGGGCTGAGTTTAAACAGTCTCCTGGGCCTTTGGGCAGGATTTGTGAGTGGAGATTCCAGTGAATATGGCCAGGGTAATTAAGACCTGTCTATGCTCTCAGTGCCACACCTGCAGGTATTAAATTAAAATCTACACAAACTGCTACTTTAAGACCCTGTGATTCAAATGAATAATAGTGATAATAATAATAAAAAAAATGACAACAATAAAACAACAATAATAATAGATGAAGACAAAAATAAGTATATATAATAATGATAGGTATATAACAATAATTTTATAAATAATAATAATGTGTCTAGAGTACTTTCATTTCTTGTGGGCAAATATGTTTTGTATGCTCCTATTGACCTGTTACTCTAATCTGAAAGGCCTGAAAATAAACTTTGCATACTTTTTTATTATTCTGGGTTCTCCATTTCATTGGAAAATTACTGGTTTTCCTTACAGAGTGGTTCTACAACCTCCATACCATTCCTTAAATTGGCATAATCCATACTTCTGTGGATGTTCTGCCCACCTCTGAAAAGACGAGTTTAAATGATATATATCTAAGTGCTCATATGTATATGTGTGTGTATATACATATAAAAATAAAACTGTGTATGTGTATCTTTGGGTGTGTATGTATAGGCATATATTTACACTGGTGAGACCACATGTTGAATACTGTGTTCAGTTTTGGGCCCATCACTGCAAGAAAGATATTCAGGTGCTGTAGCATGTCCAAAGAACTGCAGTGAAGATAGTGAAGGTTCTGGAGAACATGTTCTGTGAGGACCAACTAGGGTTGTTCAGTCTGGAGAAGAGGAGGCTGTGGGAAGATCTCATCACTCTACAAGTACCTGAAAGGAGGCTGTAAGCAAGGTGGCTGTCGGTCTGTTCTCCCAAGTAACAAGCAATAGAACAAGAGGTAACAGCCTCAAGTTGCACCAGGGAAGGTTTAGATTGGATATTCGGAAAAACTTCATCACTGAAAGGCTTATGAAGCATTGGAACAGGCTACCCAGGGAAGTGGTGGAGTCACCATCCCTGGAGGTATTTAAAAGATGTATAGACATGGCACTTAGGGACATGGTTTAGTGGTGGACTTGGTATTGGTAGGTTAATGGTTGGACTTAATGATATTAAAGGTCTTTTCCAACAATTCTATATTCCTAATTTTGTGTGTTTGTGTGTGTGCATCAGGGCAGGAATTACAATCTAAAGTGCCTGAAATAATATGAGACATACTGAAGTCTAGCAGAGTGGTGTTTTCATAGCTGAAGTCATGGAGAGGAGTAGCAGTTATGCACTATGGACAATCAGCAACCCACTGCATCAGCTTCCCATGCCTTTTTTTATTTTTTAGGAGTAGAGACATAAACTTAGGCTACGGCTACACTGGAGACTAAACACTACAAAGGCCTGTTCTTTGGCCTTGAGACCAAACAGAATTATTTGCCACAGCAAATACCTGTACTAGTACTGGTCCTACTACTTTCACTTTCAGAAACATATGCAGATGGCCTACCGGGAACAGCCTCGGTCCCGTGCTTACTCCTGGACTGTGACTAAGAAATTTAAAGAGTGCAATAAGGTGGACCAAAATCATGTGTGGAAATAGTCTGACAATATAAGTCTAACATCTTAGCCTATTTCCAGTCCCCAGTCATTGCTCTAAGCACAATTCAAATAGTACACGTGTAGTCTAAGTTGCTACATCCTTGCAAAATGTAGTTCTAAATTACTGTCACTAGGAAGGTAATACCTGAAAGCAATACATCTTGAGACTATGTGGGAGTACAGATAAATCCCTATTATTATAATCAGTCATATATTGAAGCTCCATTTTGTTGAAAGGACTGCCGCTGCTTGCAGTCTAGGAAACAATAAATTGGCAACAGACAATACAAAGAGAATAAAAAGAAACAATGGATAGGCCAGTAATACTTCATAATTACTGTTGAGTCTATTTTATATGGATCCTCATACAGATCACAAAGCCTTCCACTAAAATTGACATAAGGGGAAACCATGGAAACTTACATATTACATTGTAATCATTATTATGAACATAAAAATATGTGTTGATTTCAGAATTTAAAGATATTATAAATAGTTAAAACAATACATTAATGACTAAGCTATAGTCAAAAACTCCTATCATCATAATTTTTATTTTCTAACTTTAGATTCTTTTTAATACAATTCATATGCAGAGAAACAGTATAAATATGTTAAGGGACTAAGAAACTGAATTCACTGGGGGTACATGGGAAAAGGTAAGAAAACAGTACATACCGTCACAAGATGGCAACGCTCTGTTCCATGCTGGCTTTCCATCTGCGCCAATTACACACGTTATAGTTGAAGCATCGATAATCTTATATCCAGAATCACACTGGTAAGTGATAGTTGAACCAAGCTTAAAGTCTGTTCCGATTCTTGTCCCATTCATGATGTTTCCAGGATCAAAACAAGCTTCCCGTGGCTTTTCTGTTGACATGAATGAAAGTAAATCTCTATACACTTTCAAGTTAAAAAAAAAAAAAATCAGTGTTTTTTTCCAGTCAGTTTATATTTTTCATCAGCTTATTAAAATATTTTCCTTGTTTCTGTATGCTTACTACAAGATTGTGGATATTTGCATTACTCTGGTTATCTGGCCAAGAAAATTATACTTAGAGGATCTAACCAACAGCATTTTCTTCCTGCCTTTTGTTAGTAGAACTCTCTAAAAGCTGAATGACTCCAGTGAAGTTTAGCAGTGTAGAAGAAAAACTACTCTTTCTAGACATCACCACTTAACACTATTATGTTTTTTAAGCAAGTATCATGCTCAGTACTCAATAACTTCTGGTTAGAAAGCTGCCATACTATGGAATAATTTAAACATTAAAAATGTATTGTTTCTCTATGCTTCATATTTAAGAAGATCTAATAATAACTGGAGCTTGAAGATTGACAAAAGAAGCACAACAGTTATTTTCTGGCATGGATTAGTAGGTACAAAATCTTTAATCAGAGTGAGTATAGACATCAATGTTGACAAGACTAGGATTTCATTCATCATCTTTGGCAAGTTAAAATAAAAAGAAAAGGGATGGGAGAAATCTTTCATACTAAATATTACTTTCAAGAGTATGACTGAGATGATCTTCAAATCGGAAGAATTTAGGCACAGAACATTCTTTATAATAAACTAAATGAAAACAAAATATTAGTAGAAGTCGAGAACTATCCAATACTTTTTCCTAGAAAAGGCTTAAACACAACTCAGTCCCTCTAAAATCTATGAAAATATTGTGCAATATTACTTCAATAAATATATTTCGCTAAATATGTGAACTCTTTAGAAGGGAAGGGCACACCTAACATAAATAAAGTTCATTATAGGACGGAAAGATTTTTTATTAAAATATTCCAGAGTCAAATTCATAGACAAAGCTTACAGCATGACTTCTTCCCTTACTAAATTTTAATAAAGCATATATTTTAATGAAATACTGAAGGAATATTATCAGAAAGCAAAACAAGTTGTCCATAATCAGAAATGTTAAGTAAAAAATTTTACATTAAATAATGTACATAATAAAATATTGAATTATTAGGTAAAAATGTACTGCCTGTTGAATATAACTTTTAAAAATATAGCTTTCTGCGCATATATATTTTATTTTCTTATTATTTCATTTAACTTCCAGTTGCATAGAGGCACACGTATCAGACTATGCTGAGAACAGAAATTACACACACAGTGAAAATATGTACACACATTTTCAAAGGGCTTCTTTACCTCTTTATCTCCTTCTGCTCAACTTTCTTTCCTTGCAGGCCAACATGACTTTCTGGAACAAATTGTTTTCCTATTTTATTTTTATTTTGTTTGAAGTTTAGATAGGAACAAGCAGACAAAGATTTCATCTATGGCAATATGATAATTGCTTTGAGAAGAAAAGCCTTGCCAACATAGAGAATAATGTGTGATGCTGGATGAAAGATGAAGACTAAAATTAAAAATTATTTAATAGTTCTTTTCAACCTCTCTCTCTTTTATCGGTATGTTATTTCAGTATTCTCTAGGTATTTGTTCTGGTTTGGCAGCGGCCGGCAACAAAAGCGCCACGCGGCCGCCCCTCCCCC